ATGCGACTAATGGAGAGATTAGGGGCAAATGTGTGGTTGTAAAGATCCACATTTAAAAAGGAAAGAGATCTCTACTTACTCTTTTAACTTATGACATTACAAAAGAAGAACAAATTAAGCCCAAAGCAAGCAAAAGGAAGATAATAATAAATATCAGAGAGGAGACAAATGAAATAAAGAATAAAAGGGTAGAGAATATTAGCAAACCCAAAAGTTGATTCTTTGAGAGTATCTTCAAAATGGATAAATCTTTAGCTAGACTAAATAAGAAAAGGAAGAAAAAACCCTCAAATTGCTAAAATCAGAAATAAAAAGGAGACATTACTCTTGATGTAGATGAATAAAAGGGGATTATAATGGAATATTATATATAATTTGTGTCAAAAACTGGATAACAGATAAAATAGACAAATTCTTAAAAAAGAAAAACTGAAACTGACTCAATAAGGAATCTAAAATATAAATAGACATACAACCAGAAAAATATTGAATTAATAACCAAGAAAACTATACACAAATAAAAACTCATGCATAGATGACCTCATGGGTAAATTTTACCAAGCATTTGACGAAGACTAAGCATCAAACTTTCACATATTTTCAAAGCGCCCTAAAACATATAAGAGAAGGGAGTACATGTCCAACTCATTCCGTGAGACCAAAATTCTCTACTCTTGGATGGTGCTGTGTAAATCACTTTTAATTCTAGTACCAAAGTCAAAAGACAGAAGCACTGTAAATAACTACAGCAAGAGTACATTGTTAATGGGAACTCCATATAGAAAGATGTAGGTGTGACTGATTGCATAAAATGTGTAAAAGAAGTAATAATACGTAGTTTTGGTATGTGTTTAAATTTAAGTCATCATTAAATTAGAATGTTGTAACTAAGAGATAGTTTATGTAGAAACCATGGTAATGACAGGCAAATAAAAAAACCAGTAGTATAATAACAAAAGACGAAGAAAAAGAATTGAAGAATACCCCCAACAAATCACAAATCACAAAGTCAACAAATCACAAAGGAAAACTCAAGAATGAGGGAAAAAATTAAAAAGAACAAAGTAACTGTGGAATTATAAGTAAACAATTAAAAAGACAGTAGTAAATCTTCACCTATCTCTATTAAAATATAAGTGGATTAAATTCTTCAATCAAAAGGCACTGGGTAGATTCATGGTTAGTTAAAAAAGAAATCTAGTGGTTTGCTGACTATAAGAGACTTAATTTAGCCTGAAGGACATACACACACTGAAACTGAAGAGATGGAGTAGATAGTCCATGCAAATACAGCAAAAAGCAGTAGAGCTAGCTATACTTGAAAACATAAGATTTTATTAAAAAACTGTCACAAGCGACCAAAAAGGTCATTATATAATAATAAAGCTCTCAAATCATCTTGTACACATAATAATGATAACTAAATATATATATAATATATATATATTATATATGTTTTATATAATATATATATAATATATATTTTATATATAATATATATAATATATATATATATATATATTATATATATATAAAACTTTGAAACACCTTAACATATAAAGCAAGTAGTTTGAGACCCAAAGAGAGAAATGGAATACAGTAATGGTAGGGGACTTAGATATCGTACTTTCAACAATTGATAGATCATCCAAAGAGAAAATCAATGAGAAAATAGTAGACTAGAATAATAATGTTTGCCAAATGAACCTAACAAACATATACAGAACATTTTATCCTGTTTGATCTCCAGGCTTAGGAAAGTAACCCTGGGATCCTGGTTGCATGGGATTGAAGCTATGTCACATGGCTCCTTTGGGGTCTGCAATGGGGTCTGTGTTCGGCAGACGTGTTACGGGGGCCTCTAGTGGGTGTCAACTCAATGTGCTCCCTCAGCTGACTTGTCCACCTCCAGGATCTCAGAACCACAGCTTGGTGCTGGAATGAGAGTCTGCCTCCGGGTCCATATGTTAAAGTCTCTTACCGGGTGGATATATCAAATAGCTTCTTCCTGGTCTCAGGTAGGACTACTTATGGGGTCATTGAATTTCTCTGCTGGTAGTACTGGCCCTGGCCCATGGCTAAAAGGGTCTGAATATAAGTCACAAGACTACAGCAATACCAAGGTCTACACCCTGCCTCAGAGGTCAGGGGTTTGACGCGTCTCCCCGTGGGTTTCTTGGCAAGAAGAACAGTTTTCAGATCCTACTTGAGAGGACTGGAGCCAAATTGCAGAGCCACGTCAGGACCTGCTGTGACACCGAGGGCTGAAGGTCCGCCTCTGGAGGTCCAAGCACACAGTCCTAGAGTGGGCAAGGTGGCTGCCAGACTGTAGCTAAGAGAGTCTGGAGCTGAGGGTCAGGATCCTTTCAGAGTCTCATGGTGGGGCCATCTTTGCCAGGCTTTTCCCCAGAAGCACTACTATTATGGGGCTCCTCTGGAGTCCATTGTCAGACAGTCTTGGTGATAGTTTAAAAGAAACACTGGGTCACTGGCAAGTCCAGAACTTGATCTGGGGCTATTGTTGGCAAACATGCTTCTGAATTGGGTCTTTATTCCCAAAATGTCCCTTCTAGGTCTTGGTCTCCAGTGGGATTTCAGAGATTCCTACTTGAATTCCAAGACTCCTTTGAAGGTGTTTCTGTCCATCAGTGTCTCTTTTTGCCCCCCCCCCCACCATTTTTAACACTTTCTTCTTATCACTGATTTTCAACAATTGGATTTATATATGCTTTGTTGTGATTTCAGTTTTTATTTTGCTTGAGTTATGTTGAGATTCTTGGATCTCTGGGTTCATGACATCACCCTGAATTGGAAACATCTTAATCACTATTTCCTTAATTAATTAATTAAATTTTTACTTCGCTCTTTCTTGTCTTCTCTCCTGGGACTTTTATTACATGCGAGTTTGACAAGTTCCTACAATCAGTCCTCTTGTTTGGTTTTCCCTTGTTTTCTTTCCGTAGGTGCTATCTTGTGGGTAATTTCTACTGCTAGGTGCTTAAGTTAATGGAACTTTTCTTCTGAAATACCTGCTGTCAGTGCTGTCTAGTGTTTTTTTCAGTTCAGACAGTAATACTTGGTGGCTACTGGGAACATGAACTCTTTCTTGTATGAGTTCTAGAGGTCAGTTGATCTATTTCCTCCAGCAGTTCTTTCCTGTCTTCTGACAGATGTGCAGATTAGTACTCTTTCAAAGACATGAGGGTATCCTGTTGCAGATATTTAGAGTTTCCTCTGTTTATGCTAATCCCATCTTTTTAGTCTTCTATCTTGAAAACAACCCCTTTGCCTTCTCTATACACAAAAACAAACAAACAAACCCTAAATGCCCAATTTCCATCCCTTTAAATTTTTAACTTATTTTTGTTTCCCTTATGTTCAGACAGTGATGTCTATTACTGATGTTTTGTGAAATTTTACTCATACCAAGGTATAACTCATAAGAATAATACCAACTCCCTGGGGGAACTCAGGATCTGAGAAATAGCACCCCGTGTATTTTCTTGTCTACTTCATTTTCCTTAGAACAGATTTTAGTTAAAGTGAAGAGGAAGTCTTAACCAATGAAACATACAATGTAAGCATTAAGAAGAGTTAATAAATGGTCTAATTACTGAGGGTATTTCTACCACAATGTAGATTGCAAGAGGAATGTGGTAGGAGGCATGAGATACTTGATAGAGAAAAAAAAATAGAATTTGTCTCTGTAACAAAAGGGACTTTTCTAATCACCTCAAGAGATTTTTTCAATTCCATTTCATGGGAATGCTTCCTACCTTCCCACAGGTTCCTCCTTCTACCTCTCTGATCATCATAAAATTGCTTAGGTGCTCTTGCAGTGCAAGGAATTTGCATGGCATCACACATTAATCTGTTCTACTTTATCCACCAAGCTTACAATCTCCATAAAAATGTGCTTTGGGGGTTGGAGAAGTGGGGAATGAAACCCAAGGAGCTTTATCACTGAGCTTCCTCCCTAGCCCTTTTTATCTTTTATTTTATTTTTATTTTAAGACAGGATCTTGCTAAGTTGCCCTCTCTGGCCTCAAAATTTTTATCCTCCTGCCTCAGCCTCCTGAGTTGCTGGGATTATAGGTGTACACCACTGTGTCCAGTCCTATGAATGTGCTTTTAAAAGGGGTTACCTGCTGCTTTATGTAACTAAACGAAGAACATATTTCCCATGCCGCCCATGATGCAATGGAGCAGAAGTTCAGCATAAATTTTTTCCCAAATGGAGCTTATAGAGATTCATTTACAAGTGACTTCATTTTTTTAACTAAAACAAAGATAAGAAACATCTGACCTTCTTACCATCACTTTCACATCAGTCAGTATTTAATCACAATGCTCTTTGCCATTGATTATAAATAAGTATTGGAATTCATGTGGCCACTATGAGCCGTGCTTTCATGCAATAGAATACTGTTTGCTATTCGAGACTAGAAGAAGTGTCAGAAAGGAGCCATAAGAAAAACTACCAGCAAATTGGACATTATACATGGGAAAAGAAAAACTCTGGATATTCTAGAACTATAGACCTCAATCAAAGGAAGAAGTTTAAGGGAACAAATGCCAAATCCAAAAATATTTGGATAAACAATGAAATTAAGCTAAACAAAGAACAATGTTTCATAATTATAGGATTGAAGATATATAACATTAAACTCCTAGTCTAAGCAACCACGTGTGGTAGATCTGATAGAGAGGTGATAAAATTTAGGTTACATTGAGATAAAACTGATTCTAGAGCAAGGAAGGTAATCATTCCAAGTCACCTAGTGACACATTTTAAGAAAGCTCTTAAACAAAATGGAAAGTATCTGGTGAAGAAACCAGATAAAAATTAGAGTTCTGTGAACTTTAATTCACCATTAAGTTAACAACAAAAACCATTACCCACCACCAAAACACCCTTTAGCTATTTTAAACATATTATAATGGAGACACTTATTATCCATTTTCAAATATTTTAATTGTTTTTTTTTGTGTCAGTGAAATATTAGCTACATCTATACATCTTTATAGACAATAGGAACAAAAGAAGGAAGGCATATAAAAGTAGAACTTTACATCATTTAGAGATATTTAATACACCTCCCTATTTAGCAATCAACCAAGATTGCATTGCTTCAGGTGAGACTCCTACAAGAACAGAGCAGCGGTGGTGATACCCTTGGTTCTTTCCAAGATAGCTCAAAGTTAATGAATACTTTTCTATTATATGGATCATTTTGTGAAGGGCCCTACTGAAATCTTTTTAAACTGGGTAGAAATAGTTGCATCTTCTATACAAACTGCCCTTCACGTTTTACTTATCGTTTAATAAACCGGCTAAAATCACCCCTTAAGTGTCCTGAGAAAGCAAAATACTTATTGGTGTAAGTTTGAAAAGTGTTTTTAGTTTGGAACTGATTTTCAAGAAACCCAAGTTTAATCTGTACCCCACAAAGTCTATCAAAATAAGGCCATGGAGAGCTTGCATTATGAGGTGAGTAAAGTGCTAAATAAATGGAAGAGGGAGATCGTCAGCATTGCATTCATTTCTGCATCCTCAGAAAGGATGTTTCCATGGGTGTGAGAAATATTCTCATTACAGAGCTTTAGGATAAAATCTTACTCTGCCAAGCACTTTCCGAATGGCCACCTGCACATCCTTATTCCTAAAGCTATATACCATGGGGTTTAACAATGGAGTCACAACCGTGTAGGTCACTGTCACTAGCCTGTCTTTGCTAGATGAGTACTTAGCTGATGGTCGTAGATACACAAAGGAGGCACAGCCGTAGTGGACAATGACCACTGTGAGATGGGAAGCGCAGGTGGAGAAGGCTTTGCGCTTGCCCTCAGCTGATGGGATCCTCAGGATGGTGCGAACAATGAAGCCGTAGGAGATGCAGATGAAAGTCAGGGGGACCATAAGAGCTAGAACTCCCCCAATGAAGATTAATAGCTCATTGACGGAGGTGTCCGTGCAGGCAAGCCGGATAACTGGTGAGATGTCGCAGAAGTAGTGGTTGATTTTGTTTGGGCCACAGAAAGGGAGTTCAAAGACTAGGAGGGAGCCCGTCAGTGAGAACAGAAAACCAGCCCCAGCACAAGCTGCTGCCAGTAGTCCACACACCTGCCAGCGCATAAGGACAGGGTATCGAAGTGGATGGCAGATGGCAACATAGCGATCATAACCCATCACCCCCAGGAGCATGCAATTAGTGACAGCAAAACCAAGGAAGAAGAACATCTGAATGGCACAGTTGGTAAATGAGATCGTCCTAAGCAGAGACAGCAGATTTATGAGCATCTTGGGCAGAATGACTAAGGTGTAGCACGTCTCCGAGACGGAGAGGACCCCGAGGAAGAAGTACATAGGTATGTGGAGACTGCGATCTTGTCGGATGACAGTAACAATAGTGATGTTCCCACTTAGAATAAGCATGTAAAGGCACAGGAAAAGAGCGAAGAGGATGAGTTGGATTTTCCCAAGACTGGAGAATCCCAACAACAGGAACTCTGTGACAGAGGAGAAATTAGATGGGTTGACGTGGTCCCAGAGATTAACCTGCAGAGAGCAGAAACAGAGGAAGAGATTGTGAACCTTCAAATGTGCAGTTAGTGCCACTATAAGTTGAGTAATAAAAAATAAATCAGAGAAAGTAAAAGGACCTGTGCTACAAGGAAATACTATGTTGATCACATCACTTCATAGTATTCTTTCCAAACACTGTGATTACATCTGTCTTCAGTATCATTTCTGCATCTTTTAATGTGTGTAAGTTTAGTTGTTCTTTCTCATACAGCCAATTCAAATACTAAGGAATCAAAATAGAAATACTCTGTATAATGACCCTGGCTTTGCCATTTACTATCTGTGCAATCCTCTGTGCCCCAGATTCCTCATCTATAATGTGGAAATGTTAATAGTATCTCTCCTAGATTTTCACAAACATTCAATCACTTAATGGAATATGTGCTTCTTCTAAGCTCTTAATAATTGTCAGTTTCTGCTGTGTGTGTTACTTAACTTTAATGAAGTGACTACTAGTTTTTCTTGTTTCTTGTTTCCTGTAAATAAATGTATATTTACCCAGAGGTTTTATTTTGTATTTTTAAACCCTATGACTTTATTTGAACCAAACGACTGGACCAACATCTAAACCCAATTCCTATTGGGGTACATTTTTAGTGATAATAATATTGGGCTGATTGCACTTTATCCTTTCCTTTAATGACACAACCTACTTGATTGACCCTCTTGAGAGAAGGGAGTTAAGAGGACCTTGGCATAGGAAAGCTTTTTTTGTCATATTTAAAATTTAAATCGTTCTGGGGAAACATGAAGTTTTCATGGCTACTTAGTCGGACACAATGTGTCATTCCATTAAGAGGGACCTGACTTAAAGTTCTGATGGAATTATAGCTTTAAATTCAAAAGGTAGTAAGTCCAAGCTATCAGACCTCTCCTCAATGTGAGCCATTACATCTCCTCACCTTTTCTCTGGAGTTCCAACAGAACTCGCGGTTGCATTTACCACACCTGACCTTGAAGGGTTTCCAGCTCCTCCAATTTCACCTTGTTAAAGGGTGGGCAAATTCTTTCCCCTTTGATTCAACAACAACAACAACAACAACAACAAAGGTTTTTGTTTGTTTGTTTTGTTTTTGGTACAGGGGTTTGAGCCCAGGGGCACTCTACCACAGACCTATATCAACAATCCTTTATTTTTAATTTTGAGACTGGGTCTCACTAACTTGTTCATGTTGGCCTCCAACTCGGGATCCTCCTGTCTTAGCATCTGGAGTTGCGGGGATTACAGGTGGGCACAATCATGATGGGCTTAACTAAAGTCAAATTTGAATTTGATAAATCAATAAGAAGTCTTGAATAAAATGAAAGCACAGAAGTGAATTCCAAGATGAAAACAATTTCACCAATGTAGCTCAACTTAGGAGACCAACTGGCACCTGATCCTATCTATGCATTTGAGGTACAATTCTTTCACCCACTACCATTTCTGAGTGTTTTCACTTAAGTCTTTCTCACTGATAAGAGAGGGTTTGGAACAGAAATATCATTTCTGCTTTTGTATTCAAATGGATCATAGCGACCAGTGGTAGACTAATAGGTAAAATCATATTTCCTGAGTAAAGTCACTACTTTCATGAATTTATTCATTTTATACTGTGTTCATTTAATTATTCTGCTCATTAAATTAAATTAATGAGTGAACACATTTAATAAGCATTTATTGTCTATAGTACACAAATCTTATGAACTACCCAGCATTTTTGGCAAGAATGATGCTAAGTCAACTTATCTTCTTCACAAACTCTTTTCTTCTTTTCCCAAATGTGCCAATTTTTTTTAAATGGAGGCTTTTCTGCAGCAACATTATGTGTTTTAATCTAACAGCATCTCTCCTCTGTGATTTCACTCATCATTTTTCTTATACCCGAAAAACCTTCATTTACTTTGAATCCATTCCTAATCACCCAGCTGAAAATTGCAACCCCTGGCTACTCTGGTCTCCAAAGATAAGAGTGATATAAGCTTACCTTTCTTTTAAACTTTCTTTTAACAACTTCCTATTGTATTCTAGACTGTATCATGAAGCATAGCTGTCTCTACTTTTTTATGTACCAGAATGTAAATGACTTGGCGATAAGTTTATATCCCCAGAACAATGGAAAAAAAAATTGCCACATAAAAGCTATTTGTTCAATCAATTATTAACTATTTGATGAATATTCCATTAGATATTAAGTCTTTTAGAAAGGGCATCTGTAAAAGGTATCCTTCAAGCTCATGAAAGAGATGGTAGTATTTTTAATCTTGGAAGGAGATATATGAGACCCAAGATCGAGTCTGCAGCCTATTAGATCTAATGTATGAGATCCCGTCTGTAGACTATTAGATCACATTGCATAGCTATAATTGTACCAGCGCATCATAATCTGTCACACAATCAATGATTTGTGAACAGCTTGATCCGGTGCTCATGAATTCCCCTACCATTGCTCTCCCCAATTACCTTTGTTCCCAATACTTTATACATAAAATAATGAATAACAATACTAACGCCACTGGGTTCATCCTTGAGGAATGCAATTTATTTACCTTCTCAGCTCCCATTTCTGAGATTTATGCAGTAGATTATTGTCCACAGAACTCTAGAATAGTGAGATTCAAGGAAAGCGGTGGTCTGTAAAGAAAGGCAGCTCCATTAGACATTCATTTGCTAATGAGATTTTTCTAATATTCCTTTGTCAAAAAATATTATTTTCAAGTGATATTTAATAATGGAAGATGAATGTCCTAAGCCCATTTTTAACAGAGAGCTATGGTCTTTTTCACTGATCCAGGGAAGATTTCCTAAAGGATTCAGGGATGGTTGATATAGAGGGAGTCAGGACTGTGATCTCTGTGGAATTTGGTCGAATTGGTGATGTTCTATTTTATATCCCTCCTAAGCCCCACATTGTGTGTATTTTCTATGTTTCTTAACTGGTAAAATCCAATGAAATCCAGTAGTATCACAACCATTTCTATTTCTAAAAGACTGTATTCCTCTCTTTTCTACCACTGACATCTCCATGCCCCAACCTGTATTCCTACCTCCTCTGCTGAGAATTCTGAGAATTATCCCCCAAAGCATCATAGAAAAATTTCTTCTTTTGTCTCTTATTAGTTATAGCCTCAATATGCTGGTGGATATTTATACTTTTTAAAAACTCCAGGGAGCCATTATTGCAACACTATTTTTGGAACAGTTCCATCTTTCTCACAATAAGCAAAAAAGGATGCAGAAAACATCAAGGATCCAAATCTCATAGGTCCAATAGGGGAAAAAGGAACAGGGGGAAAAAATTGGCATTGGCCATTAGTTGGTTGGTTTTCCAAATTTCTGGCTATCTCATTAGAAACTGAAGGCTGATGCAAACTAAGGAAAGAAAAGTGAATTTGGAAAGTGCTGCATTACGAAGGAGGTAGCACAGGGCTGTCTTTTCTGAGGTCTTTCTTAAAATTATATTTTATATTCATATGTTTATTATATATGTGTTAGATTTTAGAATATTTTAAAATATATCTCATTGTTGGAACCGTGGGACTACATCAGGTGTTCAGTGTTCAGGGTTTTTTTTTTAATATAAAATTCCTATTTAGATAATTAAATCATCAGGCCTAACATGAGTATTCTTTTTTTGTTTGTTCTTATTAGTTATACATGACAGTAGAACGTATTTTGACATATTATACCTATATGGAGTATAACTTCCCATTCTTCTGGTTGTACATGATGTGGAGTTACATTGGTTGTACATTCCTATATGCACAGAGGATAGTAACGTCCCATTCATTCTGTCTTTCCTATTGCTATTCCCTTACGCTTCCCTTTGTTTTTCAGGTCTTTCTTGCAAAGGTGAAACTTTTTTTTCTTCCTTTGACTTCACCAGGACAAATAAAGCCATGCTTTATCATTTCCAAAGAAGAAACAAGAGTTTTCCCTTTTAGTCTAGGTTTATTAGAAACCTGCAAATTCACTGTTGCACTAGATTGAGGAGAATAGGATCAAAGGAAGATGCTTAGGGTAAAGAGTATTTTTTACTTTCAAAGCTAGAATAATGAAGAACAAATCTGAATGAAAGTCATAATGAATAGTCTCTTTAAAAAGGTTAAAACATACAAAACCAGCAAATTTCAAATTTCAGAAGAGTTTAGGTTTGGAGATTGCTCGTGAGAGTTGTGGAATATTTAGGTACAAGTCACAGTCGGCGATATGCTGCTTTTTCCTAACCTTCTAGAAATGGAAAGATTACCTTCCAAGACTCTGTCTCAAGAGGAGGGAATGGAGTAAAGGATTATGCATAAACTATCCTAGATAGCTTGGCTATTGTTTCCAATTATTCTTATTCTTTTCTGTAGGTCTCTGGTAGTCTAGCTCAAAATACATGAGAGGGGCTGTGAAGTTGGAGAAAGAAAAATTAAGTGCCTATTTATAGGTCTGTGCTAGTGTTTGCCTGCCCTGAATTTGAAATTAGGTTAAAAGTTAAGCTGTCTATTGCCGGAGTCATGGGACCGTTTTTAGACCTTCAAGTTCCTAGAAATTGTTAATCTTCCTCATCTCTGTCTTAAGATTTCATGAGTGAGTCACAAGAGGACGGCAGGGAGAACTAAAGGCCCACAGCCACCAACTCTTCCTCCACTTGACTCTATTTGCTATCTGTCAGTGGCTCTCAGTGGCTGCCCTCAGAGCAGCAGAAATTGCCCAAATGACGCGATTCCTAACTCAGTCTTTTAAGTTAAATTAATCAATTTTCCCCCCCACTGGAGTACAAACTTGAGTTTCTAATAAACTGGGTATGAAACATTCCATCTCAAGTATTCCAATATGGATCATGCATGCAAATAAAGTATAATATTTAGTTCTACATTCAGAGAAAGATATATACATTAAATTCTAGCTCAAAATGTCTAGCATTTTTTTAAGATGTTATCCATTATCTCCAATGGCTTCAACCCCCAGCCATCAATCAGTTCCATACTACTGTGAAAGTGACTTTTTTTTGGTTTTTCCATGTAACCAGGAACTCCTCCCAAATATACCATATGAAAGCTATGAAGTGTAAGTTTCAGTTGTATTTTCTATCAATTGCTACAGGAAATAAATTCTAATGTCATAAGCTACCATTTTTTTTTTGGATTCTAGGAGATAAATGCTCTCAAGAATCTTAGAAAAAAATCAGAAATAATGCATTGACACATATGAGTTACTCAAAGGTATCTGGTGATGTTAAGATATGTCCAGTGTTTCCTTGACCTACAGATTGCAGTTAATGGTCATTTCTCAAATCTCAAATCAATAATTCCACCAACAGTCCCATCTCACAGTTATACAGAGAATGATGGGCTCACCAGCTAAGGTAAAGGGCTGATATGGGCAAAAGGAAATTACTTCTCTTACACATTATTGCAGTTCTTACACATCATTGCAATTATCTTGACTCTTTCAGACTATCCAATAATTTGGAGGTAGGCTGAATTTAATTTTCTTCCTAAATTACATTTCCTACAATAATTTCTAAATGGATCAATGATTAAGAAGGATTAGGAAAAATTTAAATAAAATAATATTTTGTTAATGTTATAAAGTTAAACCAAGGAAAACAGGAATTAAAGAAAAACAGGAATGAATCTTAGCAGTTCCCTAGCGTACCAATAGTTTTGAAGATAATGACTACACCCTGGAAAAGAACCACATGGTACAAGGCACTTGAAGGCCTTTGAGTTACTATAAAAGCAGGCAGATTCTGGAACGTAGCCATGACAACATTTTTAATCTGAATGAAAGTCATAATGAATCCTCTCTTTAAAAAGGTTAAAACATACAAAACCAGCAAATTTCAAATCAGGGAACAGAGTTCAAAGAAACCAGAGCTGGAGAAAATCCCGGAAATGAAAGAGCCAGAGAGAGAAAGGGAACAGAGAGACAAAGTTCCAATTCTGTGTATTAGTTTGGCCAAATATCTGGCTGAACTATGAACCACATATGGGTAGAATACATACAAAGAAACCCAGAAGTATGAAATAGTTAAATAAACAAAAGAAATACCATCCAAGAAAACAAGATCTCAGTTTGAGTCTGACCATGTTCCTTGCCTGTTAAAACTAAAAAAGACTAATATTTGCCAAATTAATATAACAGAATCTTTACATAACATTCACCAAGACCTGATAAAATCTCAAATTATTTCTTATAAGACTAACCATGACCTATGGCCCTTTCTAAATTAATGTGATAACTCAACGTAGAGTAGTGGATCATGATTTTTAAAAAATAATGATCACTGTGCCCATTAGTCCTCAGAGGTCCAAGGAGATCCCAGAGAGGAGGCCTTGGTTAAGCAAAAGTGAAGTTCTTGATTTATGTGAGAGAAAAGAATTTCAGCACAGGCTGGTCAGAAACACAGACAGAACGTTCTTTAGGAAAGCAAAGGCATATCTTGGGGAGAATGTGTGCTATCTCAAGAGTGAGATGCTATGGGGGTCAAGCAAGGGATACACTTCCAAGGGAAAATGAGGGCAATCTACAGAGGAAGAGGCAGCAAACCCCTGGGTGTGGAGTGCTGATATTTACACAATAGCAGGGGCTGGCCTAGAGGTGGAGCTAGGGCAGAATTACACAATCTCGTTTTCCCTGTGCTTGCGCATTACCCTTGTGCTAGTTTTCGCAGTCAAGGGCACGGTCAAGGGTATGGGCCTAGGGAGTGGGCTGGGTTGCTCAGGAGTTAAAGTGTTCATGGGTGTTTTCTGCATTGCAATGACAATTAGGTGCTTCTCTGAATACTCAGTCTATCTTACTTTATCCTGTATCCCCAAATTCCTATCTCACAGTTTTACAGAGAATGATGGGTTTACTAGCTGCACCAGCAAAAGAAAATTACTTTTCTTACACATGATTGCAATTCTTACTAAGTCTTGTTTACTTCTGAACTTTTAATAAAGGAATTTTTATCCCTAAAAAAATCATAAATGATAATACTGTCAACAGAATTCTCTGCAGAACCCATGTAGCTGGAAGGAAGCAAGATGATATATTTTCAAGGTGCTAAAAGTAAAAGAATAAAAAAGTCAACCAGAAAGGTGGAAAACAAAAAGTACATCCTACGTGATTTTGTTGAACGAAGTTTGGGTGACTAAAAGCAAATCACTAGTTCCTGGGACTTGGGGTGGTAGAGGAGAATAATTGGGAATGAGCATGAGGAATTTTTTGAGTGACAGAAATACTCTGAATCTTGATCATAGTGGTGGTTGCACGTATGCCCATACTTGTCATTATGACACCTCCAGTTACAAGTGACGAGTTCTGCTCCCTCAAATGTTGAAGTTTGAACATTAGAGAAGCCTGCGGAGGCAAGTGTATAAAGCAGGGTTTATTTAAAAAGGGGTAACATAGGCTTCCCCCTGTGTAAAGGTAAAATTTCTAAGCTGATTCTAAACTGAAAAGCCTGAGTTAAGGTGTAAAAGACCGAGCATTGTAAAGTTTCTAAACTGCAAGGCCTGGGTTAAAAAGTAAAAGACTAGGTATTGTTAAAATTCCTCTGCTACCCCCAAAACCTGTAGTCCCTGTAGCTGTTAGGACAATACCCGAACTGCCCAGTAAATATTCTCACTGACTCCCTGGTTGTCTAATAACCTGGGACTCTGTGTAGTTTGTCACGTAGTCCTTTAGGCCCTAAAACCAATCAGTTTGAATGTGTACCCCGCTTAGAAGTGATCAATCACCCCTGCCCAGCCTGTTCCTGCCAATGAATGTACTAATCATGTCTCAGAGTTGTTGTTCAATTTTTCCGCGCCTCCTGATGATTTGTTCTGATGTATGCAAAGCCCCCCGCCCTCTTCAGAAAGTGTACTTAAGCTCTGCTTGACCTCTGCTCTGGGCTCTGGGCCGCTCTCCCTTCCTGAGTGAGCTTTGGGCCTCAGCGCGCTGAATTAGGATCCAATAAACTCCCTCTTGCCTGTTGCATGAAGCCAGTCTCTTGTGGTCTCTTACTCCGATGCTTCGTGGGACCCTTACACCCGGAGAGAGAAGGGGGCCATGGTTAGTATCCTGATATCCCTAGAAGAGAGGCGTTCTGCCCTAGGCGTCCTTGGTTCTCCTGCCCTCTTCCCCTTACCTTTCTCTTTCCTGCAGACATGACTAGGCCCAGGACTAGGCCTAGGAATGCTCAGTGGGATGGTCAAAAGGTGGGCAACAGGTGGGCTGAAGGGGGAAGGGCAGGATGGAGCAGCCCAGCACACATATTAACCACCCGTAGGGCCGGGCAATTCTGGGCCAGGTTACCTTAGCAACAGGTTGGAGCAGGGGCAGGTTCTGGATAAGGGAGTAGGAAGGGCTCTGAAGGAATTAACATTTCAGTCCCTCAGGGGACAGTCTCCAACTTGCTAGGACTCACTCAAAATTGGCCTGACTGGATCTGACCTGACTCGGTTTACTTATCTATACTGACTGCCTGTCTAATTCTGGCTTCAAAAACATGTCAAATCATGTACTTAAAATGGATGCCTTCTATTGCCTGTGACTCATGTCTAAATACATCTGCTTAAAAGATGAAACAAGCAATCATAAACACACCATACGAAGAGCTAATGCTAGGGAATATCTCTTTAAACTTGGCTTAGGAAAATGTTTCTGAGGGAGGACAGATAATAGAGTTATATATAGATATATGTGTGTGTGTGTGTATATATACATACACACACAGATATGTACATAGATATTGACAGCTATGCATACATGTAGTTAAACATATACACATATATATTTATATATGCATTCTAAATAAAAGAAAATTATAAGTTAAATCTAATCAATATAAAAAAAGCTCATTCATATTAAAGGACACTATTGATCCCAGCACTCGGGAGGCTAAGGCAAGATGATAAGTTAATGAACAGCCTAGGAAACAGAGAGACCCCATTTCCAAAACCAAAAGAAAGAAAGAAGAAAGAAAGAAAGAAAGAAAGAAAGAAAGAAAGAAAGAAAGAAAGAAAGAAAGAAAGAAAGAAAGAAAGAGAAAGAAAGAAAGAAACTTGAGAAGACAGAATTATGAAGACATGTACTTGGAGAGAATTTTGTTTGTTTATGAGCATTCAATTTAGTAAATATAAATTACTAAATGCAATAATTTAAAAACAATTTATTAAAATGGGCAGAACCAAGACAATTTCCTAAGAAAACATAGGAAGAGCCGATAGGCAAATGAAAAACTTATTCAACATAATTAGAAAAAAAATGTAATACAAAATAAAACTAAATGAGATACTACTACTATACACCCCTCTATAATGACTAATATGTTAAAAATACACAACAAAACTACCAGGACTGAAGCTTTAAGAGTCTGTGAAACAACTTGTAGGAGTGACAATTTGCACCCAATCTGGAAAACACTTTGGGTCATAAGGTAGTTAGTTTATATAATACGTAGCTACTTTATGACCCACAATGCTACTTCTAGACACATAACAGATAAGAATGAAAATAAATGTTTGTAAAAGACTTGTTCAAAACACATTTTTAGCAGGTTTGTTCATAATAGCCAACAGGTAACAACAAGCAAAATGCCCCTCAGCAGGTAAATTAATAAAGACAGTTTTGCATATTTGTTCAAGGCAATAGTATGCAGCAATGAGAGGAACAATCTACGCACTGTGAAATGGAGGATTTCTACTGGAATTATATTTTGTGAAGGAAGTTAGACACACCAGAACACATACTACATTATTGCCTATGAATTTAGTTAAATGAATGCAAATTCAACTACGTTGCTAAAGATTAATATTGTGTTTTCCTAAGTAAGAAGTCAACTGGAAAGTCTCATGAAATAATTTTTGGAGGGTGACAGAAATATTGCATATCTTGATTGGTATTGTAGCTGAGTGGGTATATTTTTTTGTGAAACTTCAAAAACTTATATTTAAAATAATTGAATTTTGTGATCATTTCTAGCCATTAGAGAAATGCAAATTAAAAGTACTCTAAGATTTCTTGTCACTCCAGTTAGAATGGCAGTTATCAAAAATGCAAGCAATAGTAAGTGTTGGCAAGGATGTGGGGAAAAAGGCACACTCAAAGGCACACTGGGACTGCAAATTGGTGCAACTACTATGGAAAACAGTATGGAGATTCCTTAGAAAATTTGGGATGGAACCACCGTTCGACCCAGCTATCCCTCTCCTTAGTATATTGCCCAAAGGACTTAAAAAGAGCATACTATAGTGACACAGCCACATCAATGTTTATAGCAGCTCAATTCACAATAGCTCAACTATGGAACCAATCTAGATGTCCTTCGATAGATGAATGGATAAAGAAAATGTGGCATGTTTATATAATGGAATATTACTCAGCCTTAAAGAAGAATGAAATCATGATATTTGCAGGTAAATGGATGGGACTAGAGAATACCATGCCAAGTGAAATAAGACAATCCCTCCAAACCAAAGGCCAAATGATTTCTCCCATAAGTGGATATTGATCTACAGTGTGTGTGGCGGCTGTGGGTGGGAAGAATGAAGGAACTTTGGATTGTGCAGAGGCGGGTTAGGAAAGGGATTGGGCTGTGGGAATGGGAAGGGCAGTAGAATGAGACAGACATTATTACCCTATTTACATGTATGATTACACTCCTGGAGTGACTCTGTACCATGTACAGCCAGAGGAATGAGAAGCTGTGCTCCATTTGTGTACAATGTGTCAAAATACACTCTACTGTCATGTATAACTAATTAGAACAAATTATAAAATTTAAAGTAATAAAATAAGGAGAGAAGTGAATGCAAAAGGCAAATTGTAAATCTCCCATGGCCATATTAAAAAAAAAATTCTGATCAAGAAACTGTACTCAAAAACTCAAAATATAGTATTAAAGTTGTGAAAAGGAAAGGGGAGGAGAAGACTATGTTTTGATGGTCTTAGTATCACGTGCAGAGCAAGAACAACAAAATCAACAGCCAGGGGTGATAACTTAAAAATTAGTTTGCAGAATCTTACACCACATACGACCACAAGAATGGAATCCGAATTACAATAACTTATACTTCATGTATGTATAGGATGACAAAATGCACTCTAATATCATGTATATCTAAAAAGAATTAAAAAATTAGATATGCCAACATTCAAAATGAGCCAAGTTGAGAAGCTCCACTCCCGGGTCAACATTCCCAAAATAACACAAGAGGGAGCTCCATGGCTACGAATCTAGGTCTGTTTTCACAGACTGTCCTTCCCTTCTAACAGTAGAAAACTAATCTCATATAAGCATGCATTCTGAAAAAGATCACATACATGTCTTCGTGAAGTTATTGTAATATAATCAGTAGAATATTCCTAGAAAATCACTGTGTCGGTGTATGTAGTGGAAACCTTGATGTACCCTTCAGGCAAGGGGCCTTGTCACCCCTGTTTTTGGTAGTGTTTTCAGTAGAGAGACTTCCACATTTTACCAAATACATAGACACCTTGTCCAAAGTGAGCCCTTTTTCTGGAGAAAACTCTACCTACGCACAGACTCATGAGGTCCATAAAGCCTCAGCTATTCTTCAGGCATAGCCTGGGCCTACTCTGAACGGTTCTTCTAGCTACACCGCTCTCTGTTGGCTCAGCCAAGCCTGGCCCTAGAAGTGCATTGGATTTGACTTTTCCCTCTGGTCAATATGCCCTACTCCCTACTTGCCAAGTGTGCTTCCCACAAAATACAACCTGCAAGAGCCCAGAAGACATGAGAACAAAATGAAAGATGAACACTTGAAGCAAACATTTCAAAATGAGTGAAAATAAACTTAAAGCGATAGAAACTATGAAATAATAGCAAAGATTGGAATTTAAAAGAATGATTAGAGAAAGAAATGTTTTAAAAGTGGGGGCTAGATCAGGAAGCAGAATACTGAATAAATAGACTAGATAAGCCAATCAGGGGAAAAAAGAGAGATATAAAGTGAAAAACAATTCTAAAAATAATACTAGAGAATGTTTTCTGTATGATTCTATTGTGATAATCTGTAATCATAAATGATGATTGGCATATCAGATGCCATGAAGTTGTTTATTTGGGGGAAAAGAGAGGGAGAAAAGGAAATGTTTGTGATGCTCTGTCTTTAGACCTATTCATTGTTCACTTGGTGATAATCCTTCCATGTGTCAATTATGATTTGCATGCTTTTCTGTGTGTTTGTGTTTTGATTAAAAAGGTATACATGAAATATTTTTATAGATTCAACGTATTTTATATGAGGAGAGTAATCATCTTATTTTCTACTCTGAATTTTCTGTATTTCTCCTGAGTTTATTTTTATTTCATGTTTATTCCTCTGTATTTCATGTTCAAGCCTTTTTCAAACGTCCAAGAACAGGTGAATGTTTAAATATATTCAAGACCATGGCACATGAAAAGCTTGTTTGAAGTTCTTTGTACATGAGAAATGCTTGTGTAGAAGGGTTAGGCAAAACCATGCTATGTATCTCCCGGAGGTAACCCTTAACCCCCATTGCTTCTCTAGAAAGAGGTGCTCCTGCTTTCTGGCTGAGGGGTTTATTCCAGGCGTCCACCTGGGCATGGGAAAGAGGCTGGGGATGCTGCATGCTCTGAGAGCACACAGACCAATGCTTTGTTTGTGGTTGAAGTAGCATTGACTTTTTCCTTGGCTTTGAATGTAGGCTCTCACATGTGCCTCCATTCTGCCTTGTGTCTCTAACCCTAAACTCCTCTGCTTTATTGTCATACAACTAAACCTCTAGTTTTACCCGGGGAAAGAATGAGACATAGAACAATGCCACTCCAGGGGCACTGCGGTCTATTGTCAGTCTATGGGATTTCTATTATGGGCTTGAGATGAGATTGGTGTAGAAGTTGAATGTAAATGGGAGGCAACCTTTTTGGAGGTGAATATTACTGAGATACACAGGTACACAATCATCGGACAAATCTGTTGGAATAGAAGACACAATAGTTCAGGTTTTTCATTTTGCTGGAAATTTGTTTTCACTTTCACTTG